TTAAAAGAGTGCCATATTCAAGGCTCTTTCAGGATTAGGAGAATGAGCCCCATCATTGTGTTTTTTTTTTTTAACTTTTTTTTTTTTAATTGAATCACCGTGGGAAAGGTTACAAAGCTTTCAGGTTTAGGTCTCAGTCATGCAAATATCAAACACATTTCCCTTTACCAATACTTATTTTTTACCATGAAGAACCCCAATAAAACCCCACCCCCACCCCTCCCAGTCCCTGTGGGGCAGATGAATTCTAGTTAACACTCTATCTGCTTTGATTAGATTCATTGTTTCAATAAAAGATTCACCACTATTATTTAGAGTTTACCCCCCCACAAATCAGACATGCTGAAAAAGCATTGTGAAGTGATTTGCTTTCTACAGCTGGGTTCAAGAATTAAATGTTGGTTTTGGATTTCTGCTATTTTACTTATTGACCCTGGAAGTATTTCTACTGAAAGTCAGATAGTTAAGAAATTGGTTTCTGTGCTCTGGAGTCGTGGTCGTGCTGGAGAGCCGCTCGTGGGGGGCAACTGGTGGCCTCGGTAGGGCGTGAAGGGCGGACCGAAACGCCCCCCTTCCCATGAGGTTTTAGTCGCCCCCACTCCCCCGGCTCATACCTGCTGTCCACAAGGCTCCCATGCAGCCGCCATCTTTCTTTCCAGAGAGGAGAAGGCATCTGGGGCAACACCCTTTCCCCTCCGGACAGACCTGATGGCCTGGATCAACGCATAGTCCGTTCACTTTTCTGCTCCAAGCTGCCGGGTTCTGCATTAAGTCCTTGTGCTTCTGGGGCCGTGGCCGTGCTGGAGAGCCGCTCGCGCGGGGGGCAACTGGTGACCTCGGTAGGGCGTGAAGGACAGACCGGAACGCCCCCCTTCCCATGAGGTTTTAGTCGCCCCCACACCCCTGGCTCATACCTGCTGTCCACAAGGCTCCCATGTGGCCGTCATCTTTCTTTCCAGAGGGAGGAGGGCGGAAGGGACCAACACCCTTTCCCCTCCGGAGCCCCATCATTGTTACTGGTATTTGGCATATTGGATACGCCATAGGGAGTTTGCCAGACTCTGCCGTGTGGGCAGGTTACATTCAGTAGCCTGCCAGTTTGTCCAAAGTAGGAATGAGAAAATAAGATGTCACGCGGCCGCAAATGCGGCCACGCGGTTCCGGGAGCTGGGTTTTATAGTCTCTGAGTCTTGGCCGTTGATGGGATTACACGGCGCCAGGGGGCCAGTTGGTGGGTGTGACCCCCGCCTACTGGAATTCAGAGGATCTGGGTGGAGGATGCTCAGCCCTGATCCGAGTAGGCTTGGAGATCTCAGCTTCGGGACCCGCTTGCCTTTGTTCCTCTGCCGGTACCTTCAGGTGTGCGGAGAGTGGTCTCAGCATGGTGGTGGATGGTTCTGGAGGTCTTCGGCTGCCGGAGCCCTGGTCGGGGCGGGGAGGGAAACTCAGCCCGCTCCCCTCCAGGGGTCCCCGGCGAGGACAGCCAGGTGTGGGGGCAGGAGACTCTGTGCTGTTCTCTTCTGGGAGCTGGGTTTTATAGTCTCTGAGTCTTGGCTGTTGATGGGATTACAAAAAAAAAAAATAGAAAGAGTTCATCCAAAGTCTGAGTGTCTTTGTACCTAGAGGGGACACCACGAATGGTTGCAGACAGAACCATAATCGCCTCCAGATCAGTGTTCCCATAACCCTCATTTGGGCCTGCCCTGTAGTCATTGGACCCCCGGGGAGTGCATAGTCAGGTGGCATAGGGCTGAGACCACATTTCCTTCGCTACAGGGGCAGAGAATAGAGTACTTTATTTTAAACTTTATAGCATGTAAGTTTTTTTTCCCTGTGGTATGTTTTTTGTTTGGGGGCCACACATCTGGCGCTTCTCAGGACTTAACTTCTGGCTCTGCACTCAGGGATCACAGTCGGAGCTTGGGGGGGGCATATGTGCTGTTGGAACCTGGGTCAGTCACATGCAAGGCAAGTTCCTAATTCCTGTGCTACCTCCAGCCCCTACATTCTAGCCACCGGTGTCTCAGACTCCCTTAAGGGGACTACTGGGTATTGTGGGTTTAGGAGCTGAGGTCCAGACTAGCAATCTCATCGGTGTTTTTGTGGCCATCCAAGAACAGCCTCTCCACCCCAACCCCCACATCCACATGCATGTACCCACCCACACATACGCAGAGAAGGTGAAGGGAGCAGTTAGGAATTGAGGGGAGGTGGGGTTTGAACTTCAGGCCACCAGTGAGGACTTGGATGTCTTTCTGGGAAAGGACTGACACAACCCTCATCCAGAACTTGCAGCCTTCTAGAACTTTCTGTGCAACAGGAGACCATTCCACCCTCTCCCCCTCTTCTTCCCTTCTATTGAGGTCTCTTCCCCCAGGTTGAGAATCCCTGTGAGTCCCGCTGGCTGCCAGGTGGGGCCCAGGCAGGTGAGGACATGCTGGGAGGTGCCTTACTGTAGGCTGCTGGGTGAGACTTTCCTTCTCTCCCGCCTCCAGCATTCTCCCCAACACCACCCCCATCGCCTCACACCCCTGAGGGTTCCCTGGAAGCTGAAATGACTCAGGGATTCCAAAACCAGTCAGCCCAGGAGGAAACCCCTCTGGAAAATGTTTCGCATGTGGGGAGTCACCCCGAGGAATCCCACAGAACCTCACCACTGGGCGGGTGAGGAGATAAGGGCTGAGTGTGAGCCAAAGAGGGGGAGGGTGGCCTGTGGCCCGGAGCACAGTTCCTGGGTCAGGCAGGAGAGACTGTGATCCTAGGGGCTGTGCCCTGCCTGCCTCCCAGGGGTTTCCCCTGAGCAGGCTGAGGGTCCCGAGAGCCGCAGGCAGGGAGACACTCCCCCCACCTCCAAGTCTTTCCTAAAGGACAGTGTCCAGGGCAGCATCAGCAAGTGACCTGAGTGGCTGCAGTGGCTTCCAGCATTCTGGCAGGAACCAAGGAGAGGGCATCCAGGCCAACATCAGGTTTCAGTTCTGCAACCTGGACTCAGTGGCAGAGAAGGGTTTGTGGGGAGATCCCCAGGGACCCAGATCTTCTAGAAGAGCTAAGAACCTTTCCTGGGCATGGAGATCTGGCAGGAACACACCAGCCTCCCAGGGGGACTACCTATCAGCTGGGAGGTTGACGAGCAGATAGAGGGAAGCTGGTGGCAGCCCCAGGTGCAGAGCCAACAACCTGGGCAGGATCAGGTGCTGGATTTCCCTTCCACTTGCTGCCAACCAAGGGGTGGCACAGAGTAGCATCTCTGTGCCAGGAGCTTAGATTGGAGGCAGTCAGGGCCTCTTTTTCCTCACCATGTGACCTCAGCGAGGGGGCTCGTTTCCTCACCTGGAATGTGGGGGGGTTACAGCTTCCTGGGTCATGGAAGACTGCAGAGGAGCACAGGATGTATGGGAGCCCATGGTGTAGGGAGGTGACGGGCTCCAGGGAGCACAGCTCAGAGACCCAGCATGGGAGTGGGCTGACATGCTCCTGTCCTCACCCCCGCCTCAGTGCTCCACTATCCCGGGCACCACCTGCTCCTCTGAGCCCCACTGCTGCTTCCAGCACACCCTCCCTCCAGAGCACCTTCTCCAAATTGCCCAGCATACCCCCTGCGCCCCCCTCACCTCTCCCAGCTCTGCTTTGGGGCCGCTTTGACGTAAAAGTCTGGAAAGGATTCCTCTTCATGCAGCAGCTAGCTGTTTCTGGTTACCTTTGTTTATCCCAAGTCCATGGTTACCTAGAGGTGTATTTTCTAAGGGAAAGCACATGCAAATCAGAAAGCATCATATTAGAAACAGTGTCTGTCTGTCTATCATCCAGAAGGGGTGTGTGCGCGGGAGGGGGGGTTGAGGGGGGCAGGGGTGTGGGAGCTGAGGGCGGGAGTGGGCTGGAGAGAGAGAAGACCCAGAGGCGAGTGAGTGGTGCTCAAGGGTTCTGCCCACCTTGTCCTTGGGGTAGCCCCACTTGAGCCTTTCTGGAACACATGTACCCCTGCTGTTAGACAGGTACCCATGGATCCAGGGCCACTAAGGCTATGTGGGCTCACCCCATGGCCTGAGAGGGATGCCCCTGTCATGGTCCTTGTTCCCTAAGATCCAGTGAGTGGGATGGGGGCAGGCAGGTCTGGGACCTCGGGATTCAAAGAGATGTTGGGGAGGCCAACATCTGATGCTGACCGTTTCGAGGCGAGGATGATCCTCTTCATCCTGGCTTTGGCTTCTTGCGCCCCCATGGGCCAGCTTCCTCTAAGTAGACCCCATGTGCCACCCAACAGATGGAATGAGAGTGGGACCAGTACCCCTGGGGCCGGGGACAACAGTGCAGGTGTGGGGACAAGGATCAAGGAGATCCATGGGCTGACAGGGGAAGTTAGGGAAACATTGATAGAGAAGGACGGATGGACACATTATTAGGACGGGGTCACAGAAGTTCGGGTCACTGGAGATGCCCACTGGCAAGAGAACCACAGGGTTGAGGGTGAAAGGAGATGGAGGGAAAGGAAGTGTTTCCCCGGAGGAGTGCTGAGGGCAAGGTGTGAGGAGAAAGGGAGCAGAGGCGACAAGCTGGCACAGGAAGATGCGAGGTGACAGTGCCAAGGCTCCCTGGAGACATCACAGCCCAGGACATGTCCTCGTTTTAGGTCCCACGCCGACCGGGGGCATTCCTCTAATGCCAGCTCCTCACGTCACAGGGGCACAGAACACTCGTCCAACCCGCCGCCTGGAAAAGTGCAAAGGCCAGAGTTTACCCAACTGGCAGCTGGGCTGTCCCTGCGGCTCATCACAGCTTTCCATGAGTCCCACATTTTAAATAGCGTTTGAAAAACACTTTCAGGTTTTTTTGGTTTTGTTTTGTTTTGTTTTGTGTTTTAATCTCAGGTCACTCCCTTCAAAAGGTAGTGGAAATAAATTTGAATAAACAAAACAGGTTTGCTGAAAATAAAACCAGGGCTCCCCAATGCTCTCACCACTGCTTCCTCGGGGCCTGCCTTGTCAATCAGCACAGCAGCCGGCATGAACCGGGTGAGCGCCAGGAGGGTGCAGGCGGGTGCGGGCCAGGGCTAGGCTCGCTGGGATGGGCTTGTGGCCAGGCTGGTGGGAGACGCTGGGGGCCAGTGGGGCTGGATGCTGGGATCTCAGGTGGCTGGGGGAGGGGCTCCCAGAGATGAGAGGCTCGGCTCACTGGCCTTTCCCCACAGGTGGTCGTGTTCTTGGCCATGGCCATGGGCAGCCTGCGAGACCTGGAGGCCTGCACGCACCGGCACATCTGCTTTCACAGCAGAGAGCAGTTCCTCATGGAAGAGTGGCCGAAGTTGGACTTTGCTTTCATGCCTCACCCCAGAGCGGTCAGCATCAGTCAGTCCCCAATGAACTGCAACGCCAGTGCTGATGGGCCTCTGAACAGCAGATCCATCTCCCCTTGGATATATGAGTGAGTCAGGTTCACCTCCTGTGTGCCAAGGGATCCTGGGACTCGTCCCCTCACAGGCCTGCCTCCCTGCCCCAGTCAAGGGCAAGAGCGGGGCTCGGTCTACCTCTCTCTCCCTTCACTGCCAGACTTTGGGCCAATTATTCAGGATTTAGTGCTTAGGGTTTTGTTTTATTTATTTATTTATTTTACACGTAAAATGAGACAATTCCTTGTAGGCAGGGGCAGGAGGAATAGTGCAGGAGTTAAGGCACTTACCTGGCACACAACTGGCTCTGATTTGATCCCTGGTACCACATGGTCCCCTGAGCATCCCTGGGTGGAGCTCTGGAGAGTCCTTGAGCACCAGATAATCCCTGGCACTGCAGGCTGCAGGTGGCACTGCATTCTCCATGCTAGCATTGAACAGCTGAACTTGTTGACCAAGAATCACCTGGGTGGGGCTCCTGAACCTCCTGAGCACAGCTTAGGAGACCCCACAAAGATACCCCATAGGCTAATGTGCAGACCATATGAAATAATATATGTAGGGGGTGGAGCAATAGCACACAGCAGGTAGGGGGTTGCCTTATGCACAGCTGATCTGGTTCCATCTCCAGCATCCCATATGGTCCCCAGCCCAGAGCACCGCCAGGATTAATTCCTGAATGCAGATCCAAGAGTAGCCCCTGAGCATCACCAGGTGTGATACCACCCCCTAAAAAAGAAATAATGGAAATAATGTATGTAAAGTCTATACCTTCTACAGAAAAAGTTGGTCCTTCCTTCCTTCCTTCCTTCCTTCCTTCCTTCCTTCCTTCCTTCCTTCCTCCCTCCCTCCCTCCCTCTTTCTTTCTTTCTTTCTTTCTCTCTTTCACTCCATGTCAGATGACTAACTCAGCTGAGGTCCAGACCCTTCACTGGGAGACCAAGAACCCCTGATACCACTTGGCTGATATCCCCAGTGTGTGCTCATTCTCATACTTGGCTCACAGCTGCATTTTTTGGGAAGAACAGTCATGGTGTCAAGAAAAATTGGGGAAAACTATTTCAGCCTCCACTCCAGGAGGTTCATAATGTACTTAGCACAATCAAGTATGCAAAGAATCTGCAGAAAAGAAACCATAAACTCGGCATTCCCCAAACTCATCAGGGAATATATTGGGGTCTCATTGAAGCCATACATACTATTTCTTTTCTTTCTTCCTTTTTTTTCTTTTTGGGTCACACCTGACAATGCACAGGGGTTACTCCTGGCTCTGAACTTAGGAATTATTCCTGGTGGTGCTTGAGGGACCATATGGGATGCTGGGAATTGAATCTGTGCAAGGCAAATGCCCTGCCCGCTGTGCTATTGCTCCAGCCCCTCTTTCTTTCTTTCTTTCTTTCTTTCTTTCTTTCTTTCTTTCTTTCCTCCCTCCTTTCTCTCTTTCTCTTTCTTCCCTCCCTCTTTCTTCTTTCTTTCTTTCTTTCTTTCTTTCTTTCTTTCTTTCTTTCCTTCCTTCCTTCCCTCTCAGAGAGGTTGGTGCCAGAGATTGAAAACAGGGGCTTCATCCATGTGAAGCTTGTACTCTGCCACTGAGCTTCATCCCTGGTCCCACAAGATCCCTTTTCTTGTAGGGTGCTTTTTAGGGAACTCGCTCCCATTTGTCAAGAGCCTGTGTATGTGCAAAAGATTTTCACCACTGGTGGCCTATGTCCTTTGTTTCTGTAATATTCCCAGATCTTTAGAATACTGAATTTTCACTGGTTTTCATTTGGGGAGGAGGCAAGGAAATCCTTTCAGAAGAAAGTGAATTAGTCTTGGGCTAGAGAGATACAAAGCAGTGGGGGCACTGGTGGGACACACATGCTTCTGGCTCCTTGCTCAGGGGATCAAATGTGGTGCCTCAGTATGGGGGACTGGAGAGACAGTTTAGCGGGTAAAACATTTGCTTCGCATGCAGCTGACCTGACTTCCATCTCCGGCATCACATAATGTCCCCTAAACCCTACCATTCCTGAGCACCTCTGGGTGTGGCTCCCCTCTAAAAAAGAACATATGTGGTGCCAGAGAGCAAAGTGGATCAGCAGCCTGCAAGGCAAATGCCTTTATCCCTGCCCTATCTCCCACTTTTCCTTTTTATAATTAAAAACACCCCAAAACATAGTAACAATCATGGAAGGAATTTCATGATGGTACCCAGCCTTACTCCTTGTGTGGAAGCAGAACTGGTCTGCTGGAGTCGTCTGGCCCAGCCCAGCCAGCACCCCTTGCCCTGCTTTTTTTTTTTTTCCTTTTGGGTCACACCCAGCCATCCTCAGGAGTTGCTCCTGACTTTGCGCTCAGGAACAACTCCTGGCAGTGCTTGGGGGCCATATGGGATGCCCGGGATTGAACCTGGATTGGCTGCGTGCAAGGCAAACGCCCTACCAGCTGGACTATCGCTCCAGCCCGCCTCCCCTCCCTTGCCCTGTCCTGCTTAAGGGACTAGGAGGAAAACCGCTCCCCAACCCCAGCCCTCATCTCCCTCTGGGGAAGAGAAATCCCAGAGAGGAGGGAGTGATTCCTCCAAAGCCGCACAGCCTAGCGGCCGGCCAGCGCGGGGACCAGTCGCCCGCCCCTTCCCCTCCCGCTCCCCGCCCCTCCCCTCCCCAGCCCCCCTCCACCCCCGCTCTTTCCTTTCTTGCCCCCCCCCACCCCGTGCTCACTGGTGCCCCCCTTTCCCCCACCCCGCAGGTTGGACCGGGACCCTAACCGGTTTCCCCAGGACCTTTACCACGCCAGGTGCCAGTGCCCACACTGCGTCAGCCTGCAGACGGGCTCCGACATGGAGCCCCGGGGCAACTCGGAGGAGGTCTTCTACAACCAGACGGTCTTCTACCGGCGGCCCTGCCGGGGCCGGCACGGTGGCCCCGACAGCTACTGCCTGGAGCCCCGGCTCTACCCCGTCTCCCTGGCCTGCGTGTGCGTGCGCCCGCGCGTGTCGGGTTAGGGTCCCGACGGGGGTCCCTGGCGGGAGCGCGGGGGGGCCGGGGTCTCACCACCTGCCGCACTGAGCCAGACGCCAGAAGACGCCGCCCTCCGAAGGCCCTCCGGCGTGGCCAGAGGGCGGGACAGGACCGGACAGGACAGGGGGGCTTGAGGGGCTGCACGTTGCACTTTTTGGAGCGGGTGGGGGAGGGCTGGACGCTGCCCGTCACGCTGGAAGCGGGCATCCTGGCGTGGCCTCCGGGCAGATGTCCGAAGCTCCGCCCCTCTCTGGGGTCACCACCCCTCTTTCTTCCTTTCCTCGCGTTCTTGGGGCCCAGCCCTGCACTGGCACTTTCTGGATGATTTCCCCTCTGCCGCGTTTCATCATTCATTCACTCACGCAAGCACATTCATTCATTCACAGCGTGCTCTGCACGCATCCCGTGTGCATGCATACTAGTCTTCGGACGTGGGGAGGAAGAAGCTGTTATGGAACACGGAGGGGACTTATACAAATAAATAATCAGAATTCACAATTGGCCGCATTTATCTTTGGCGTTCGCGCGGCAGGAGCACCCCCCACCCGCCCCGCCCCAGCCAGCCCCAGCTCCCCACCCAGCCCTCAGCCTCTGCCCCCAAGAAGTTCCCCGTACCCATCCGTCCCCGCCCCGCCCTCTCGGGCTTCCTGGCTCACCCCAGCCGGGGTCCGGCTGCCCTCCTGGCATGTTGGATAGACAGAGCCCCATTGAGGCACTGCGGCGGGCACACAGCACCCCCTTGTCCCCCCAACAAGCTGCCTTTGTCCTCAGACTTGGCTGCCATAGTTCGGTTCTGCGGGTGCTGCCTGGGCCCAGGTCCAGACCCCACCCTCCCAGAGGGGAGAAGGGAGAAAGGATGCGCTGAAGAAGAGGGTTCAGGTTAGGGACGGGGCACAGACTTCCTTGGCTTGGGTCCTGGAGGGGCTTCTAGTCGGCCCCAGTCCTGGCTCACCTCCCAGCTCCTCCCCTTTGCTGCCAAGGCCTCCTCCGCCCCCCTTCGGTCCCCTCCCCTCTGCCCTCACGCCTGGGCTGGGCTCCCAGTCTGGGGAGGGGCTGACCACGCCCCTTCCCCGCCCTCCCCTCCCCTTGCGCCTTTTAGGGGCGGGCTGGGTGGGAGGTGGGGTGCGGGCCGAGGGGCACTCTGGGCAGCTGGGTTGAAGGCCCATCTGGGCCGACTCCCCCTTCTGCTGTCTCAGACCCCCCTACCCCCAGCCGCTGCCCTTCGTGGCTCCTGTCCGCCTCGCCACCAGGCCAGATCTCCGCCTTCCTGCTTCTCTCTCCGGGCTGGTGGCTGTGGGGGGCTGTGGCTGGGGACATGTTTGGTGCTTGGGATCGCCGGGACCAGCCCCCTGAAGCGGTACCAGCGGCAGGGCTCCAGGGGTTCGCCGTGGACAAGACCTTCCTCTCGTCCCTCAAAGGCATCCTGCTGGAAACCGAGCTGGTAACAGCCTCCCTAACCTGGCGCCTCTGTCTCCCAGCATGCCCTGCTCCACCCTGCCCACCTCAGCACCCCTCAGCAGCCCCCCAGGAGCCACTGCAGTTAGGCAGGACAGCTTTGTGGGACCAGAGGCACAGGGACATAGGACACGCCCGCCCTCCTTTCCTGGTTTCTAAGAGGGCCCCTCCTTGGCATATCCAAGAAGTCCAGCTCTCAAACAGGACAGACTTCCTGCCGCCCCACAGTGACCACCCAGAAGCATCTGCTGGAGAGGGGGTGGGGGGAGGGGAAAGGCTCTTCCGGTCCCTGTGTAGGACCAGAGCGGGACTGAGTCTCCCAGTGGCATGGCCGCGCTGTTGCTACCTCAAGCACCTGCCTGACCGTGTCCCCTGGTGTGGGCCCAGAAGTTCCCACCCTATTAGAGGGCTTCCAGGCCTCTGTGGGACAGGGGGGCAATCAGGGTCAGGGGTGTGCAGGGGAGGTGGACCTGTCCCCTGTGCTCTGTGCCCCAGAACTATAGCGCCAGTGGTTTGCCTGGATGGTGCCTCCTGGAGCCAGGCCGCACTGTCGGGGGCTGCTAGGAGGCAGGGGCAGGGGGCAGCCCTGGACATGCCCAAATGAAGAGATTTGAATCCTGCCACAGGGGAGGCTGGAATCTGACATTTGTGGGGGGGGGGGGGGAACCAGTTCCCTGAAGGCTGAGTCCTGCAGGCAGGGGTGGGGAGTGGGGGACCTCCCTCGGGGCCAGCTGGAAGGTGGGGAGGCAAAGGCCCAGAAGTGCCTGGGTCCCGCCTGGCCGGCCCCACACACTCGGTCCCGCAGGCCCTGACGTTCATCATCTTTATCTGCTTCACGGCCTCCATCTCTGCCTACATGGCGGCGGCGCTGCTGGAGTTCTTCATCACGCTCGCCTTCCTCTTCCTCTATGCCACCCAGTACCACCAGCGCTTCGACCGGCTCAATTGGCCCTGTCTGGTGAGTGCCCGCCTGTCTCCACTCACTCCGCTGTCCTGTCCTCGGCTTGCACCTAAATGTCACTTAACCACATCAACTCACTGCTGTGTCCATGGCAAGGAGAATGGACACCTCGTCCCTGGACTTTGCTGGCTCCTGCTCCCAAGAGCTGCAGCCTCACCCTGCCCAGGTCTGTCCATCAGCCATCCCAGGCCTGGCTTCTTGTCGTGATTCTCTGGGTAGTACGAGACCTCTCTCTCTCTCTCTGTCTCTCTCTGTCTCTCTCTCTCTCTCTCGCTCTCGTGCTATCTTCATGTAGGGGGGTTACAGTGCCTGAGGGTGAAGCACTGACAATCTTGGCAAGCCTCAGGGTGATACCCTCTGCCCCTTGCCCCACCCCAGGACTTCCTGCGCTGTGTCAGTGCCATTGTCATCTTCCTGGTGGTCTCCTTTGCTGCTGTGACCTCCCGGGATGGAGCTGCCATCGCAGCTTTTGTGAGTCCAGCCCCGCAGAGCACTCCTGCCCACCCCCTGAAGCCCCCCCATTCTACTCTGTGCCTGTGCCCATCCCATTCAGGCTCACACTTTGCCCTTTCCACCTACCTCCCTCTCCGTAACCGGGGAGTGTCCCCTTCGGCCTGTGTGGTGCCACCCTCGTTCCTCCTGCTGCAGGTTTTTGGCATCATCTTGGTTTCTGTTTTTGCCTACGATGCTTTCAAGATCTACCGGACAGAGCTGGTGCCTGGGCCCAGCCAAGGTGAGCGCCCGTGCTCTGCGGGCAGGAGTTGCCCTTCCAGCCAGCTCTCCATCCTCACTGTCCTCTTCTGCCTGCCTCACCTTCACAGGGGACCAACAGTGACCCAGGGCTTAACCCGCTGCCAAGGACCCACCAGACACAGGAACGGTGGAGCCCAGACACACTCCTTCGAATCCACAACCCTGCCCCACACCCAACCTGGCTGGAGAAGCCCCGGGGTCTGTCTGTGAGCTGGTTCCCATGAAGGTTCAGCCAGGCAGGGGACATTATGGAGGGGCTGGACATTAAAAGATTCAAATGCAACCGTTGAGTCTTTTTTTGGGGGGTGGGTCACACCCGGAGATGTATAAGGGTTACTCGTGACTCTGCACTCAGGAATTAACTCCTGGCGGTGCTCAGAATCGAACTCAGGTCGGTCGTGTACAAGGCAAACGCCCTACTCATTGTGCTATTGCTCCAGCCCCCACATTGAGTCTTCTTTCTGCAGAATGAGGTGGGTCAGGAACACAGAGTATTCCAGGAAATGTGACCTGGTCCCTTCTGAGGGGCGAAGCGGAGCCCAGGAGTGAGCTGTGAGGAAGTGGCAGACCAGCCTAAAAGAGCTGAAGACCCCAATTTCACCCTGAGCTTCTGTACTAGTTTTCTGTGCTCGCGGATGATCTGTGGGTGCCTGGGGACTGTGTGAACGGCTCCACCTGTGCACACAGGTGAGCGGGCTGGAGGGGAAGCGCTTGCCTGGGGTGTGTGTGTAGAGCTCCCCCTGGTGGTGTGGGGGAAAACTTGACCCATGGGCTGCTGGGGAGAAGTCAGCCTGTGGCATCAAACCAGCATTCCTGTGGCCAGTGCCCTTATATCTCAGCTGGTCCAAGGCTCTCATTATCGTAAGAGAACTCAGGCCCAGTGTGGGAGATGCATCCTCAACTGTGACAGGGCTATGACCCAGCTCTTCTAATATCCGAACAAGCCTCGGAGGCCTCATCTCTGGCTCCTCTTCCAGACCCACCTTCCCTGCTTGACCCCATATACCTGAGCCTCTCCTGTGTCATCCTGGGCTGAGCCCCAGGGATTCCAAGGTGGCTGGCCAGCCTGTCCTTGAATACTCACAAACTGGGATGGAGACAAGGGTAGAAGGACTGTCCCTTAGGATGAATGCAGCTGGAGAGCTCAGTTTGGGGGCGGGAGGGGGCGGTGTCTGTGCAGACCTTGTATGGTGCAGAACTACGCTGGCTGGTCCACATGGTTTGGTGCATCAAGACTCTTACCCAGCCCTGGGGAGACAGCACAGCCCTGCCCTGTGGCTTGTCCTGGCTGGCTGACCAACCCATCTCCCTCATGTTTGTTCCTGCTCTGAAGTGCCCTTCTTCTCCTGGGGAGCTCCTTCTGCATACAGAACTCAGCTTCTAAGTCCTCTGAACCCCTGTAACTCTGAGCTGGAGCTCTGCTGGTGGGAGGCAGTGATAATCAGAATTTCTGGGCCCCACTTCCTGAACTCTCACCTGGCATTCCAAGACTAGAATCAGCTGGTAGTGGTTTCTCTGGATGCCTTCATGGCTGCAGGCCCTGGGATGTTGTGGGGGAGGGGTGGAGGGGATGCCCTGTGGCTCAATTCCTTTTTGTTACTGGTTTTTGGACCACATCTGGCAGTGCTCAGGTCTCACTTACTCCTGGCTCTGTGCTTGGGGATTAGCTCTAATGTGCTCAGGGGACTATATGGGTGCCTGGGATTGAACCCTGGTTGGCCACGTGCAAGGTAAGTGCCTTCCCTGCCAGACTATCTCTCCACTGTTGTTAACTTCCAAGCTTAACCTCTAAGAGACTGATTTGGGTGGATTATCAGCTCCTCCCTCTCCAGCCAGCCCCCTCTCTGCTAGGTCCCTCCTGACCCTGGCAGGAAACTCAATGGTGGAGGAACAGGTGGAGTAACTTTTAACCCCTGCGGTGCCAGAGGTGGGTGTGATTGGGATCGCACATTAAAATTTTGTCTCCCACATCCAGAATTAGACTACGTGGTGACAGAGGTCAAAACTGGACCTCCTGCAGGCCAAGCACGTGCACTTCCTGTCAGCCACCTCCCAGAGCCCCTGTTTTCTCTCTTTGAAACGTCTCTTTTCTCCTTTGTGAGGTTCATAAGCAAGAACGCATGGCTTTGCCTATTTGGGGAGGGGTGAGTTTCCCTCCCTTCACTGGGTTTCACCCACCATCTGCCCCCACAGCGCAGATCCAGGGCAGGGTTGGGGGCATCCCAGGGGGTTCCAGGTGGCAGGAAGGACCAGGACGCACAGAGTGAGGTGTCACATTTATTTGAGGCTGGCAACAGAGCGAGGTTCCGGCACACCCCATCACTCCTCGTCGTGCATCTTTTGCTGAAAAAAAGAAAAAACCCCACAGATTGTGAGGGGCAGCTGGGAGCGGGGAGGAAATGCTGGGCTTCAGAACTCAAGGATCTTTGGGGTCCCATTTAGAGGTCTAGGGCATGGGAACAAGCTCTGGAGATGTTCCAGTCTATAGGGGGCCGCTTTGAGCAGAAAAGTCTCTGGCTGGGTGCCATGGGATGAGGCTGAGAGTGAGGAGTGCAGAGCCAGAGGGGTGCTAATATGGGGAGGCCATGCGGGGGGGGGGGGGCTGGGGGACACAGCTGAGCCCCCCTGCGGTGGGGGAGGGGACCCACCTTGGCGCCGATGTCGCGGCTCTTGGCCCGCAGCTTGTTGACCTGGGACTCGGCGATGTCCGCCCGCTCCTCGGCCTCGTCCAGCTCGTGCTGCACTTTACGGAACTTGGACAGGTTGGTGTTGGCCTGCTCCTCCTGCGGGGGTCGGGATGGAGGGTGGGAAGGAAGGGAGGAGGGTGTCAGCCTCTGAGTCTGGGGGAACAGCTCCCTGTCCTTGAGTGAAAGGCTCAGCGCTCCATCTCACAGGCCCCCATCACCTGTGCTGGTGCTCTGCACATGCCCCATGGTCCCTGCTCACCCTTGTCCGGTACTCAGAGTCCTTCATGGCCACTGCCTGGCCCAGCCCTTTGGGAACTCTATGTGCAGCTGAGCTCCTGCTGTTGCTTCTTTGCCGGGGTTCCCTGCACAGGTGTGCTCACCAGCATCTTAGTCCAAGCTCCTCTGTCCACCCAGACGTCTCCCCCTGCCCTGAGCCTGCCTGGCCAGGGCCTTTCCTCAGCCATGTTCCACAGCTGCTTTCCATCTCTCAGCACTTTCTGGGGTCCAGGCCTTCCCGAGCAGCAGCCCTGCTTTTCCTGGGCTGACTGATGCATGCATTCCTCAGGGCCTACGTTTCTGAGTCAAAAAAGCATTGCTTCCTCAGCTCGGAGTCCGACACCGCTCTGAGCACACCCGAGGCCCATAACAGAGACTGGAGAGTTCAATGGGACTGCGGGGCTGGAGCAAGAGCCCCGTGGGCTGAATGCCGGATTTGCAGACGGGAGCTGGCACTCACTTCCAGCACCACATGCTCCCTCAGCACCCACTTCCACACTCAAAATGTGTTGGAAGTGGTCCTGATGTACCACCAGGTGAGTCCCCCAAAGCAAAATTAAACGAACTGCAAAGGCTTTGTCTCGGCGCCAGGCTGGGTGGAGAGAATGGTGAACTTACCGCCTCCTCAGCCTGCCGCTTGTACGCCTTGACCTTGAGCTGCAGCTTGTCCACCAGGTCCTGCAGACGCAGCAGGTTCTTCTTGTCCTCCTCGGTCTGGGGTAGAACGACAGGAGAAGCAATTTGGGGAGAGGAACAAGTGAGTCATCCTTCCCTCCCTTATCTTTCCACTCAGCCCCCAGCTTTTGCTGCCCCTTCCACCCACCTCTCAGGCGCCAGGTCAAAGAGGTAGTTAGTGTCTGACTACCTCCAGACACTAACACCAGTCTCTGATGTGATGTGTATGACAAAGTGGCCAGTCAAGGTTTTCCGTCTGGGATCTAACAACTGACCACAGACTGAAAGTGGAGAGCAGGGCATCAGGATCATACAGAATGATTCTGGCTGGTAAGGCAGAGACTGGGGCTGTTCTAGCGCCACTGATATTCATGGGTGAATAGTTCTACAGTGACCAAGACTTACGAGGAATGCAACATGAAAGGTGTTTTTTTTTTTTTTTTTATCACAGACCAGATTATCCCGCTCCATCATGACCCAGTATTCTAATACATTATTCTGGCCCAAATTGTAAGCACCAGGATCTCTGGCTCTAAACACCTCTTGATCATAAGTATCTCGACACCACTGTGCAAGCTAGAAGGCTATTTCTATCTAGGGCCACCATGAATTTCAAGAACCAGATCTTGATCTCTTTTTGGTGTCTCTCCTATCGAGGTGTCAAGTGGACAAATACCCCCATTTTCAGTCTTTCTTTCCTAGGCACACTGTGAAAATAACAGGTCAGAGCAAAAAGTTCTGAGCTATGCAGATAGAGGTCTGTGAACATTCTTGGGTCTTCTTTCACGAAGATTTATCTGTGGCTCAGGAAATAACACATAAGACCAGAGTCCACTTCCCCACCTCCATGTTTATCCTTAATGGGCAGCAATATGTCCCTGTTCTCAGGCAGGGAAAAGGTGGGAAGAGTTCTGACGCCTTCCTGGTGGCACTCCAGGTTAGCAGCAAATGAAATAAAATGGATCAATGCTGGCTATAAAAGCTTTCAGGGGCTAGAGAGATATAGTGCATAGGATGCTTGCCTGAGACTGGGATTGCTCCCTGGTACCTCGTATGATCCTCTGATCATCACCAGGAGTGATCTCAGAGCACAGTCAGCCGTAAGCCCTGAGCACTGCCAGGTGTGGCTGAAAACCCAACAAACAAAACAAAGTGCTACTGGGAACTAGAAGTCCATTCTCGCTATACTAGAAAAAAGAAACTGTGAAAAATATACAGAAAAAATACAAATCCAGCCAACTTGACTCTAGAAAAGGTAAAGAGAGCTGATCCAGGAGCAGGAGGCTGGCTGGCATTCCTGGCAGATGGTGCTGTCTGGGGTTCGCATGGGCTCAGGGACACGAGTGCCCCTTGCCCCATGGCCTCTGCTTGCCCAGCCTCCCAGCAGCTGCCCCAGCGCACCTGGTAGGTGAGCTCCTTGATGCGACGCTCACTCTTCCTCATGCCCTTCACCGACTCCACGTTGCGCTTCTGCTCGGCCTCCAGCTCGTTCTCCAGCTCCCGCACCCGGGCCTCCAGCTTCTGCAGCTGCTTCTTGCCGCCCTTGAGGGCGATCTGCTCGGCCTCGTCCAGCCGGTGCTGCAGGTCCTTGATGGTCTGCTC